TATACCGATACGGTCAGGGTATTATTAATTAATCCTCCCGTGATCTTGACATAGTAATCGGGGGATTATATCTAAAATTTTACGGGTTCTTTGATTCTGGGTCAGAATGCATCAGAATCCTGGTCGGATGTGCTAAAAATTTTACTAACGAAGTCATAGCCCATTCTTTAAGTAAAAATGCCCAGCTGATAATTAATGCTTAATACCGGCCCAGTTCCAATGCATCCGACCCGGAATTTTGGTAAAAAATTATCAGAAAGCAAGTGTCAGACGGTGGTTTTCCTAGTCCATCTCCATATGAGTGCTGCCAAAAGAAAAGGGCCACTTTGAACTTTATTAAAATTTGTTTGATCAAAGATATCTCAACAACTACTTGATCAAATTTGATATACTGTAAACTTAGGTTTTTATTTTAAAATTTTATCTTTGACCAAAAATTTTAACGGTTTAAAGTTGCTCTTTTCCCATCCGTTCGAGATCCGTTTGAGTAATATCCGACCAGTTGAAGTGTCGTATTTAGTGAAAAAATTCGATATGCGCACAAAAAAAAAATTTACAGATGTTTGTTAAATACGCAGCATTCGCACATGATTTTCAGTATATATGTTGTGCCTCAGATGCAGTCATCCGAAATAATCCGAAATAATCCGAAATAGTACTAGAGTGAATCCATGGATCTGATCGGATCGGATCCTTGAAAATACCCGACTGTTGAGTCAACGAATGAGATTGGGCGGATAAATACGTGATTTTCATGCCGTTTATGCTGTTGAGTCAACAGAATGATTATATAGTAGCATCAAAAAAGATAATTTTGTAATCGCTTAAGAAAAAGTTTTCCATAGCGACTTTACTGATTGCACGCTTTTTGATTTCACAATTCATATTCTACTTTAACATTTGCAGATAAAGAATAAAACCGAATAGATTATTGTTATTGTACGTTTCTTCTTTTCCTTTTAATCTTGAGCAAATATGCTTTCATAAAAAACTTTATCCAGGTTGTTAACCCAAAAAAATAGTTCCAAATACCGTCATAAGACTTTTTTATAACACAGCAAATATGTATTCACAAAAGGTTTGCTACGCTTCAAATTGTAATTCATCCACGAAAATCTAGTTCTAACCATTTTCCCACTTATCAAAGGAATACAAGCCAGTATATGGGTCTTTTACTAACAGGGAAGACATCGATGCAATAATAACGAATATCAAAATATTAACACCAAAAAAAGTAAGTGATATGAAAATATTGTGTGAAATTTCAACCATAACATTTATAAAAACATGTCAATGTTATGATAGGTTCCTTATACCATAGGATACCCACCGCTTAAAAGAGGTAATAACATTGTATATTTAAAGCCATTATTAGATCTAGATTTTAGTCAACTTATGTCACATCAAATGTTTTTGGGATTAGGTGGTAAAAGAATGGCTTCATCCAAACCACAAAACTGTGATACGGAAAGTCAATCAATACATTATCCTGAAGTATCAAAAACCAAAAATCCATCATTAATGTCACAGGCATCTTCGACAACTATTATACCCACTGCTAGTCGATCGGTTGATCCTGTTAATACATCAATAACAGCACCTGATCCGTCAACAATTACGCAGCCTTTTACATGTAACCAATCCTCAAATGAAAAGAGCCTAATAACATCAAAAAATATATTAAATGGACACCATCCCTCATCATCTGGTAAAAACATACGGACAACTTCAGAATCAACAATTTCGGATGATAAATCAACACCACTTCCATCATCCGAAAATTCAATTACAACCCCCCCTCAAAAAGAGGGTAATGTACCAAAGAACATTTCCAGCTTTAACGATGTAAGGAGCATGCAATTGATATCACAGAATAAATCAATGCAAAACGATGCTCTCGAAATTCCATCAGAACCAAATATTCCAAAAAGTCATCATTCGACAAATAGTAACGGATTCCCACCGCTTGCTAACTCAAATGCAAATAGTGGACATTCTGTCAAGCCCGCGTCGAATTGTAATCATCAGACAATTCAAATAAATGGCCAAATTATAGATGAATCATCACAGACTACGACATCTGTTACAAGTAACAACATAAATGGCAACAATAATAATAATATTGTTAACACTACTACTACTGGAAACTCCACTCCCAAAAATGGTACCCCTACTCAAGATGTTGGAAATCAGCAGCTTGCGAAAAATACTAGCAATGGCACATCGACTAATAAACAAATGAGATGGGCTGATCTATTTAACAAATCCGACGAAACACCAACTGCTGCATCGTTAAGTGCTCCTAAGCCAACTTTAGCTAAGCCACCGCCTTCTAGCAAACAAGAAAAACCGACTACTCCTTTACCTAATGGAAAACCCGCCGCGGGAGGGTTGGCAGGTGGAACAAAAATACAATAGACTATTTTGAGGTTTTCTTCAATATAAAAATTTTTAATCAAAATATTCCGCTTATAGGAGTCCTGTCAAGTTTTGAGCTGTCGTTACAAAGGGCCGCCATTCAGCCACGTGGCCTGGTTAATAACGGTAATATGTGCTTCATGAATGCGGTATGGTAATCATTCTTAATTTAATGATCTGGTATTAGATTTCACCAAAAATTAACATTATTATACATTTTAGATTCTTCAAACGCTTTCTCACTGCCCTCCATTCTATAACCTGTTGACGCGTATTAAAAAGGAAGTCACACACAGTTTCAAAGGCAAAACGCCTCTTGTCGATTCATTGTCAGTATCGATATTTTTTAAATCAGTTTTGAAACCCATTAGTGATGATTGATAAAATACTTAACTCCTTATTTTTAAATAGGGTCATGTTTATTAATGAATATAGACAAGTTAGAAATTCAGAAACGGAAGGTTCGTTTTGTATTACATGTATTTTATTATCAACCATCACTCATTTTTTTCTGATAATAATATTTATGAAGCATTTGGTGAGCCGATTTTACCAGACTATGTGTATGATGCCTTACGTGGCCTCAAAAGGTTTGATTCTATGAAAGGACGCCAAGAAGACGCTGAAGAATTTCTTGGCTTTTTACTTGATGGGTTACATGAAGAATTTTTGGCGGGTACGTTATTAAATTACAAACTTCTTGGTGTCGGTAAAATATATTTATGCACTTTTTTTTATAGTCTTCAGACCGGGTGGAGAATCGCAGGGAACCCGTAATAAACAATCAGCCAATGGTAATAATGATTTGGCTGAAAAACCTGGTTCTAACAAAAATGATGGAAATGAAAACGCGTGGATGGAAGTTGGACCAAAGAACAAAACAAGTTATACCAGAACTGTCAGTATATTTTTTGTGCATTTTGACCTCATTGAGTATAGGCCTGTTAACATATTCCCTTTTTCATAGACTGATATTGAAGAATCACCAATCAGTCGTATATTCGGAGGTCAACTTCGTTCAGTGCTTCAGTGCCCGGGAAGTATTGATTCTATAACACTTGAGCCATTTCAATCATTACAACTTGATATTCAGGTATGACCCAAATAACAAAGTCGTAATTCTTAATTAACTTATTAGCTAAACTAAACTTTTTAGCCTGATGACGTAAAAACTGTTGGAGATGCACTCAAAAATCTTACCAACCCTGAATATGTCGATGACTTTTATACAGCAAAGAAAGACTTGGTATGCAGAAATATCGTATTTCTATTTTATCAGCCATATTTCTAACCCATTTTTTGTAACAGGTTCGTGCTACCAAAAGATTATACATAGAAACACTTCCGCCTATCCTTACTCTTCATTTAAAGAGGTTTGTGTATGACAATGTTGGTGGAACACAAAAATTGAGCAAACATATTGGATATTCGACAACGTTATCAATTCAACAAGGTATGTAATCTTTTAATACTTGCCTATAACTAATATATAATACATATTCCTTAAATAACTCTAATCACTCGATCAGAATTGATAGCTCCTAGTCAACGTTTAGGCAAAGTCATAGAGTATCAGCTCTTTGGAGGTCAGTTTATGATTGCTTTATTTTATTTTATTTATTTATTTATTTTGGTTTTATTGTTAATTATAATTCAAACACACATTTTAATTTAGTGGTGTATCATCATGGCAAATCTGCTACTGGCGGTCATTACACTGCGGATATTCTTCGTTATGACGACGAATGGCTTCATATTGATGATACATCAATTACGCAAATTTCAGCAGAAGAAGTTGCGATTTTGGAAAATCCCACCCAACCGACTGATCGTTCGGCATATATTTTATTTTATATGCAGAGGAGTTAAATAACTACTTCGATTACGATTGTAAAAAAAAAATAAATAAAAAATAAAATAAAGCAAGAGACAATAATATAAATAATAATAATAATAACAAAATAAAATAAAAACGTACAGTAATTGATACTATTGCAAAATAGTGCTTTCGACGATTATAGAAATCCGGAATGAGTAGAATTAAACAAAAAGGTTTTCATATGATATACTGTAAAAACCAGTATTATACAGTTGTAATTATAGATTCTTTTAAAATAAAAAATTTATTTAATTCGTGATTTATTAGCCAATAAAAATAAACAATTAGATATAATTTATATATAAATGTTTATATTTATTGGTTTATATTATTTATATTTTACTGTATATTACTAATTTAGAAAAATCAAAATAATTATAAAACTTTTATAATAACTAGATATTCAACAAGAGTGCTTTATTAACTAGATTACTGAAGCATTAACTGAAGAAAAAGGATTTATTATATAGATATCAGGAAACCAGTATCTTTTCTAGATTATTTAAATTGGTATTTGGAAAGGCTAGCTAGGAGATTAAAAAATAAAAGTATTGAATAAATTTAAAAAAAATATATTAGAATTTAAGTAAACTTTGCAAGAACAAGAAGTAGACAATAGTTAGCAATTTTATACAACTTTCTCTAATGATCACTTGTACTAAACTTATGGTTAACAAAAACAAAAATTTGTTGAAGAAAGTTGAAGAGACAACTATGAATAATGGTTTTTATAGAGGTTAAGGTTTTTATATTTGTTTTCTAGACTTTTTTGTATATTCAATATACAAGTTAAAAGTATTACTATATAAGATAACTGGCAAAAAGGTGGTGCTTTTGTGCAGAAAATTTTAATAGAAGCATGGCTTCTGCTAATGAAGTTATGGAATAGTTGGTCTAATTGAAGAACAACAAATAAGTTTTCATTACCCTTTTTGGTTGATCTTTAGTATAGGTGGGCATATATAATTATTATATAATTATAACATATATAACTTAATTATTTTGAACTAATTTAAGTAATTTTATAAATTATTAGGGTTAGAATTAAGGTTAGGGTTCAAATTAGCTCAAATTAGTTAGGTTTTATATATTATAATCTTATAATAATTTATATATGCCCACCTATACTAAAGGAGATCCCACTTTTTACCAAAGTTTAAAGATATCTGCAAATCGAAACTCTCTTCTATATTTCACTTTTGGCTCTTTCAAAATTTTACTAAAAAGTGAAAAAACTGTATACTCTCTATAAAAGATCGACAACAATTACTGCTAAAAAAGGAAAAACATATACAAATATATATATCTACTTTGGAATGAATAGTAGATCAGGCATATTCTTCAAGAGGTTATAGTAGTTACATTGAAACCAGTTGGTCGTTAACTTAAAGTTATAGTAGCAACACAAAGACCACTCAATTATTAACTTTGTCCAGAAATTTAATAGTTGTGAAACACTGCAGAATTTGCCAACCTAGCAAGATAGCACCTAAAAATTTTGATTCTTGGAGCTCTACTTCAAGATCAAATAGTTTTTGTTATTTTTATATCCTGGATATAGATATAAATAACTAATATAGAGTTTAGTCTAGTTTATTTATAGTATTATATAATTTTTATAATCCTGCACAGATTCAATAATACTATCTTTGTTTTAGGTGAATCAAATTTCAATACTATAGTATTTCTTCATTTTTGTTTTGCCCTTTTTTTTTTGTATTTATGCTTTATTTTGTTACAACATGGTTCATACTTATCAAAAACAACACAAATGCAAGAGATCTCTATATAAACATCCAGAAGGGTAAATATTAAATTAATAATAAGAATAAGTAATAGTAATAATAATATTAATAATAAAATGTTTATAATTATAGAAAAGAAACAGATAAAAATTGATAAGAATAATGTAATATATAGAGTAATGATAATAATAATAATAATAATAATTTATTAGAAAAAATGTATAAATTAAACATTTGGAGGAGGAGAATGAGCAGTTGAATAAGAAGATTAAGATGATGGAGGATCATAAAGATCAATGAAGACAGAAGTGTCAGGAGAGTGAAAATATGTTATCAGAGATGTTTGAGAAATTGATAAGAGAAAGAAGAGAAGAAGAGAAGTCATTTATAAGCAAGAAAAGTGATAAGTAGAAGAAAAAGTATGAGGAGTTGTATGAATGAGTAAAAGATGAAGAGTGGTTGAAAAAGAAAGAAAAAGAATCAGTTGATCAAAGATGGTATTGGGTATTCATTTAAAGAAGCAAATTACAAAGTTGAAGAAAAAAAAAAAGTTTTAAGAGAGGAGTTGCAAAAGGAGATGGAAGAAAATAATTTGTTTTGGTGATAAAAAAAGATGATTAGATGACAGAGAAGGACATTTTGAAGAAAAAAGATGATTTTAGAAAAGGAGAAAGAGATTTTAAATAATAAGAAGAATTTTTGAAAGAGAAAAATACAGAAGATATTGTAGTAATTAAATAATCATATTATCTAGTTAATTTAATATATACTAAATAATATATAATTTAATTCTAGGGAGAATATAATGAAGAAGGTTGGAGACAAAGAAGTTGAAAAGGAAGATAATATGAAGAATATAATAGAAATTGAAGCTAATAGTTTTATGATTATTCGAGATTCAAGTGAAGGAGATGAAGAAGAGATTTTAGATTTGAATTTTGATAACAAAGATTGGGTAGATTGGCCTGTATTTTTTTAGATAATAATGATAAAGGTGAAGGAAGTAGTAAAGATAGAAGAATTTAAAGAGTTATAAAGATTTGTTTTCAGTTATAATAAAGTCATTAGTTTTTTTGATCATTAAGAAAATTATAGCGCTATTCTATTACTAGATCTAGTTATAAAAGATCAATAAAAGTCCAATAAAATATATAAAATAAATAACAAGTGTTTAATGGAATTTAAATTCAATAGCCTCCAAAGATATTATAAGGATTTTATAATAGGTCAATAATTAGGGCTATCACCTATTGTTCTTTTGGGTATAACAAAAACTTGTTTGCCCTATACAAGAATTATTAGCTACTAAAACTTAGAAATATTCTAAGATATAACTAAAGGAAGAAGTACTAATAATCAGGCTATTAATAGCTATATATAGCTTTTTAAATTCTAATAATATAAAGCTAGTATGTGCCAGCATACTATTCATGAATACAGCTATCACTTTATATTATTTATAAGAAAGAGAAAAACTATATTAATAAAATAATTATAAAGCCCAATAAAATAAATATAAATAATCTAATAAAATAAAGTCTAATAAAATATATAACTACAAATAACCCAATAAAATAAAGTTCAATAAAATATATAATAACTATAAATAAATCAATAAATAATGTTCAATAAATATAAATAAGTTGGATTTAAAAATAAATACTAATCCTATCCAGGATATACACAGCTAGAAATATTACATCCAGAAATTATACACGGCTAGGAATGTTACGTCCAGAAATATACACGGCTAGAAATATTATCTCCAAAAAAATACATATAGCTGGGAATGTTACATTCAGAAAATACACATGGCTGGAAATATTACATCCAGAAAATACACATGACTGGAGATGTTATGTTCAGAAAATATACAAATAGCTAGAAATATTACATCCAGAAAATATACAAATGGCTAGAAATTTTACATCCAGAAAATATACAATAATCTTATTCAGGAAATATATAAACAATACTAGTCCTATCCAGAACATACATTAAATAAAATCTTTGCCTGTATGAATTACCTTAGAGGGAGAATATAAGTTTTGCCTGTAGAAATTACCCTAGAGTGAAAATATATTAATCTACTGTTTCTAAAATAAAAGTTTAAATAACTACAAGAAATGCTATATTCTGTAAGCATATAGCCTCAACTCAACAGAGTTGGCTCACACTATGATAAAGAAAATAAAATGTCCATTACTATTTTAACTTAGTTAAAATAATTCCAAAACCAGTTATCTAAAAGAAGAGTCTAAATAATATAGTAATATCCAAGAAAATAATAAAGAGACAACTTGTTTAAAAACAAGTAACAAGTTTATAAAATTCAAGTAAAAACCCATTCATTACAAGAACAAGATAGTTGTCAACACTAGTCAAGATATTTTTATACTATCTTTTACTACTCTATAGGCCTGTTGACAGATTTGCTATTCCTTCTGTTGTTATTGTTTTTTTTGTAATTGCTCTTTTTGGTTTAGTTTCAAGAACCTTTTGTACTGTTTCTTTTTCTAAAAGCAATAACTTTTTAGTACTTTGTTTTTAAAGAAGAACACCATGGTGGAAAAGAAAATAATAATCACAAGTCAAATATAAGGTTTCAAAGGGAAAAAGAAAATAAACTTAGAAAAAGAAAAATGAAGTAGAGTAAAAATTTTGAATAAAATAGAAAAATCAAAAATTCAAGGTATTCATACTATGCTAACAAGGTTTGTAACTTAGAAAGAAAATGTAGAGGGACTCTCTACAAATCTAAAAAAGGTGGGAACATCCAAAACAGTCAAATGGATGGCAAGATATTAAAGGTCAAAGTTTGTATAATAACATTCGAATTTTACAGTAAAGAAAAAGGAGTAAAAACTTTGACAATTTTTAGAGCAACAGAGAAGCATTTTAGTATTAAGCAACCTATATATCAAAAGATAAAGAATGTTTTCAAGAATGTAAAGGAGATAAAAATTTTAAAATAGGATCAATATTCATAGATATATTAAAGAAAAACTAAAACTAACTAATAAAAAATTAAAATTTTAAAGGAAAATAAAGAAAAGAAGAAAGAACAAAAGAAGAAGAAAGGGGAAGGGATGAAATACGAATAAAAAGGACTACTCTAATGTATTTACAGATAAAATAAAATAGTTTCTACCAGGTTTTTAATTTATTTCTGCCAGGAGGCACCAAGATGTTACAGTGGTATTTTTAAAAGAAGAGTTTAAGAAAAGCAAGAGAGAAGGTTTAAGCAGAAGGATTTATTTACTTATTTTAGAGACAATAAAGACATTACAAGGTCATTAAAATGAAGGGAATATTATAGGAATATTTAGAGAACAATATTCCAAAGAGTATTTAATAGTTTCTATTCATTATCTACTCT